TCAAGGACAGCTGCTAGCCAGTTAGGGAGTCGGAAACAGTTTAACACCCAGCCAAGTTCAGGGATATCCACAGGACTTTTGTTGACTCTTCGTATAAAGCAAATACTGATAGTTATCTTTTGCCTGTTGATTTCCTTATTCCTGTCTGCATTTTATCTGAAATTTTCTCTAGTTGAGCTTTCCTCTGAAGAGGATCATTTCAGATCTTGAAGTTTCTGTGGCCAGCCATACAGCCATTACAATAACCAGAACGATTTACTCAACTCAGAAGAGCCCTGTATATTCAACACGGCAGGACAACACATTATCGCTTGTCATAGAATTCCCAAGGTGTTTCAGTATCTTGATTAAAACACACACACACACACACACACACACACACACACAATCGACAAATATCAAATACTAGACTACCTCTGAGAACCTGTTCCTGTTTGTTGGATACATTTGCCTTAGAAGAAAGGAAGCCAGGTATTACATTCAACTAGGGGGAGGGGAAGCCCGCAAGAGAATACACCCAATAACTGTGGACATTTCGCCAACTTTTTCCAAGACATTAACAAAGGATTATCTATCTGTGTGAGAGAACTGGGGAGGAGGGCTGCTGAAGAAAGGGAAGGGTGAAGGGTTTTGCATACTGTATGTCAGCTCTTCTAACACAATCCTGCACGGTCAAGCTGTCAATGTCTCTCAACCGCCTCCGCGACACAGGCCTCCGGGAAACCAGAGTCGACCGGGACGGCGAAGTTTAGCATCCCGGGGCCCCAAGTCCGCAGTGCCTCTCCCACTTGACCTGTGGGCGCCCCATCTCAAAGGTACGGATCTCCAAGAGGAAGGACCTATTCTCTCCTACTCTCAAAGCAAGCCAGCAGCGCAAAGTGCACCTTCCGGGGACGCAGAAACACGACCGAACGCCACCACACCAGAAACAGACCCTTCCTGGGAAAATGCTGCTTCCAGAACCTTCTCAACACCACGCCTGTTTCTCCTGGGAGGGTTTACTGTAGACCAGCGAAAGGGAAAGGAAAGGCTAAGGAGAACAAGCCGGGCCCCTCCCCAGAGCCCGCCGCCAGCAGGCCCAGGTGTGCCAGGTGTGCCAGGTGCGCCCTGGACGCGTGGGGTCGGGGCTGGGGCCTCCAGGAGGGCCTTGCGGGGCCGCCCGGGGAGGATGCGCCCGCCTCTGGGGGCTGCAAGGTGATGGGTGGGTCCCTTACGGTCTCCCTCAGCTTCCTCTCGCGGTCCAGCTCGCGCTGCAGGCTGCCCGCGCGCTCCTCCGCGGCGTCCGCCTGCTCTTGCAGGCTCCGGATCTTCCTCCGCACCGCCTCCAGCGAGCTGCTCCCCGCCATCGCGCCGGACGGGTAGGCGGGCGGGAGGGCTGCAGTGAGAGAGGCCGGCTGCCGCGCTGCGGACCCGGCTGCCGCGGCTGCCCCGGTTGCCCAGCGCCGGTCCGCCCCGCCCAGGCCGCTCCTTGCAACGACGGCGCCCCCTGCGGCCAGGAGCGGTCCGGAAGTCACGGCCTCCCGGGCGGCGCAAGCGAACCGCACGCGGGCGCGCACGGCCGGGCGGGGTGAGACGGGGCGCGCGCCGGGGATTCCGGGACCAGCCGGAGGCACTGCGCATGCTCGCGGCGGCGGCGAGAAAGGCGCCGGAGGCACGCTATGGAGGTACCTGGTGGACTGGACGCTCCGGGAGGCCTCAGCGCCAGGGCTTTGGCTTCCACTCCTAGTGCCCCTCCCCGGCGCCGGGATGACCCGGGGTAACGGAGCTGGCTGCTAAGGGCAAGAGCGACTCCTGCTGGCCGCGGGAACGCTCCGCTCCGGAGTCCAGATTCCCATGCCCAGCAGCGAGAGAAGCTGAGCGGCGGGTCTGCGCCGGAATATACCCTAACGGGACTGATCCTAACCGCAATATTATAACCACCGCACTACCCCCATCCCCAAAAACGTTACGAAGTGAAAACCACCAACGTGTAGAGCATAGTGGTTAGCCCTCCTGTTCTAAATGCAGTTTTCCTACGTTGACTCTGGCTCCTACTCTCCTGCTGCTTGGCTTCGGACAAATAACTTGTCGTCTCTGGTCCTCATCTGTAAAAGTGGAAATAATAATAGCACTTTCCCCGTGGAGCTGCTGTGAGAATTATGAAGAACTACAAAGCGCTTAGCACCATACCTTATACATAGTTTAAAACTCAAATGATAGCTACGATTAAGAAATACACAAGCACTGTTTTAAGAAACAGGCTGCCGCCCATAATCAGCTGTGTGATCTCAGGCCAACCTCGCTGGGGCTCCCTTTCCATGGGAAAAAAAAAAAAAAGCCAGTCATCCTAAGGGTCTCTGCTTCTTACAGCCTTCTTTGGTGTCAGACCAGGCTCTGAGATCTCCTGGAATCCGATCAATTCTGGGATGGACTGGGACGCCTTTAAAAGGCACCCTAGGGAAAGCCACAGAACGCTAAGAGATAGCCTCTGGCTACAGGTGGAGAAAACCACTGCGGACACAGTCTCTGCCGATTTTCCCCTTCTTAAATGCCTTCTAAGTCTCAGGGCTTTTCCTCCTCAGCTTTGTCACAGAAAGCTCTTAAAGCCAGCTCCCTAAGTGTGGGTATAATAAAGAAAACATGCTTGACAACCCTCTCCTCCTCCAAGCCCTAACAAGGACCTTTGGCTTTCCTGACTCATTTTCTGTGGAGTTTCTCACAGCCTCTGCTGAGACTCTCACAAATCCTTGCTTGGGTCCTTGCATCCTGTAGGTGGGAGTTTCTCACTTTGTTTCAATACAGTTCAACAGGTCAGGTGGGGAGGTTACAGCTGGTCCCCTAAGTGCAGAGTCTGGGCCTCCAACATTGACAATGGGAGAATGAGCGTCTGGGAACCTCCAGGAGCAGCCAGGAAACTGCTGGATACTGGCAAGTGCTCTAAGCAGCCAACTAGTGACTTAATGTTCTGGGAAAGTCAGTTTCAGGTGAGTTCATTTTCATGCTGATGTCATTATACAAGAGTTTGGGAGAGTTTTCTCATCCCTGGCTGCAGGTTGGAATCACCTGGTATTTTTTAAATGCGCTGCCTGGGTTCTACCCCTAGGGATTGTGATTTAATTGGTCTTGGGTGCATCCTAACTTTGGGTTTTAAAAGCTCTCAGACCTTATCCCCCTTCGTTCATCAACAAACGACTGTATAGCATTTCTTCACAAACTTCTTCAATATCCCTATGGGCTCGAAACTCCAAACAACCTAAAGTGTCCTAAAAGGGAATATGATCAATACACTACCAAAAAAACCATATATGCCAGATTTAGGGACAGTTTCCCAGTGGGAAAAAGAACCAAAGCAAGATTCAAGAACCTCCCTCCCCTGCTGCTCCCCACACCAGCTGACTTTAAATAACTTTTTTTCCATTGCTGCCCCACCCCACTCCACTCCCTTCAACAAGACTTTTCAATAAAGACATGTTAGCACTACATAGTTACAATAATTATTATCCTCCATTTCCTTAAGAATTGTAGTAACCTTTTTCTCCCTCTTTTGCCTTCAGTCTTACTGGGCTATTTTCAAATTCTCTGCATTCTTTTCCTTATAAGGAATATCTTTCCTTGATCTATCAGTAGCTCTTTTGAAAAAGCTAAATAAACGTCCTGCTGGAGAATTTGCGGGAGACAGGCATCTTCCATTTAGCCATATATAGAACAGGCATCTGATCTGCATTAAACAAAGCAGGCTCAGAGTTATATATGGTTTTTGGCTCTTTTTCCAAAGCCAGGTAAGTTTATGATTTAAATATTTTTGTGAAATCAGTGCTTCCCCCAAACCTCCTTTCCAGGAATCTTGATTTTCACTGAAAATTTCTTTTCGGCAGATTCCAAATGTCCTGTCTGGATTTCTCATTTACAAAGCACACCTGCACATATATCTCCAGGCTTTCATGCTAAAGAGAGACTTTACTAATTTCAAGACCTGAGACCCTTCAGTAATTTGCATGTTACTTTCATACAAAAAATTCTGCTGTTGCCCTTGGTGTTTCAACTGCTGGCATAGCTTTCCCTGGTGCTCATGAATTCTTGGAATTGTTACCAACTTCCCAAGGAATTCTTTTCTAATTGGGCCTCTAGGCTTAATTAGCTTTTAGAATGGAATCCAACGGTGTGAAAAGAAGTTGGTCCTTTGGCTTGACTTTCAGAGGCAGAAGAGACAAGCTCTCAATTAAAAAGCTTCCAAAGGGCGGTGGACAAAGAGCTAGTAGAGCCTTAGCTGTGTGCATCACCCCTGCAACTATGTGGTGGTTGTCAGAAGGCTGACAGGTGGGGGCGAGGTGAGCAGGAGGGGCAGGGGGCAGCTAGCTCACTATACCATATAAAGCACTGAGCTATATATAACTCAAAGCTTACTTTCTGAATGTAGTGCCTTCAGACTGCAGACCCAAGCAAGTATCACCTTCCCAGGCAGACCTTAAGGGGTCGATTAAGGCTTCGCTAGTGAGAAAGGAAGCCTCAAAGTGTCTCTGTGCCCCACCATGAAGTGCAGCCTTCTAAGTAAAAGTACTGCTGTCATTTCTTTCATTTAGAGGCCAGATTCTCTGTACCTGACTAGACCCACCACCAAAACCAGAACTTCCCACCCACTGGAGATGGTGAAAGGAAACAAAGTGAAGAACACTTGGCATTCTCGGCACAAACCTTGGTGATGACACCTGAGGGGTTTTCTGCCACCAGGGAAGCGAAGTTCACCTCCAGAGTCCAATTTCAGCTGCTGTATTCTCCCAGCCTCTCATCCGCCCACCTCCACCCCCAGGAAGGTAAAGGAAAGAAGAGAGGAGTAGATGAAATATAAATGAATGTGTGCAGTAGCAGTCAGAGGCGGCATCCAATGCTCTGGGCCATGGCGGGGCTGTGTGCAGGTGTCCAGCAGGAGGAGGTAACCTTCCTCCATTGCTCTCCAGCCCTGTGGTGACCAAGAGTGGCCACGCAGGCAAAAGGTGAGGGAAGCAGTGTGAGCGTGCACTTACATCGGTGGCCTTTTTCTCTGCCAGCTCCAGCTTCTCCTGGGCATCTTTGAGAGCCTCAGAGTATTTGTCCAGTTCATCTTCGGTGCCCTTGAGTTTCTTTTGCAGCGACACCAGCTCATCTTCCAGCTGGGAGTTGGCCAGGGGGTATGGGGGGGTGCAGCAGGCAGCGTGATCCCAAAGGGGAGGGGTGTGGGTGCACAGAACCAGAAGGACAGGGACAGCGGGAGAGAGAGAGAGGGAAAGACAGGGAGGGAAAGAGAGAGAAAGAGAAAGAGTTAGCCATTCGTGCGCCGTGCAGTGCCGCGCGTCCCGGATACCTTGGCGGCGGCCTCCTCGGCGGCCAGGAGGCTGTCCTCCGCCTTGTGCAGCTCCTCCAGCACCCGGTCCCGCTCGTCCTCCGACACCCGCAGCAGCTTCTCCTTGGCCGCGATGTCCTCCTCGAGCTGGGTGCAGCGGCGGGCGGGCGCGGGCGGCCGGCACGGACCGGGTGTTAGACACACACAACACACGGGCGTCGGATTGGCTGGGGCCCCTCGTTCTTGGGGCGCCGCCGAGTTGGAGTGCAAGGGACCCGAGGTAACCTCCTCTTGACCCTAGCTGGAACCGCTCCGCGGCTCACCCCGCACACCCACCTGCCCTGGGACGGGACTCCTGCCGAGGTCTCAGCGGGCTCAAGTCCACTACTTGGGGATACAGAAAAACGCCACTGCTGGCCTGGCTTTCGGGCTATAGCCCCCATTCCGTCCCATCTTATTTCTTAGGAAACAACTCCATGACCCCCCTCTCCTCCCCCGTTCCTTTCTCCCCAGTCAAAAGTCAAAGAACTTGTAACACTTGAGTTACTTGAGTCCCTTTCTCCATCCCTCGCCCTTCCTTCAAACATTCCCAGGAACCCGGTGTCCTCCTCCCTTCCCCAAACTGATTCCTGGTCCTGAGAATAAAGCTCCTCTAGGACTTGACTTCGCGGGCCATGGGAACCAGAGAAAAGAAATAAGCGTCCTTAGACCAGACTACAAAGTTAATCTAAGCCTGGCTCTTGCGTTTCCCTTCCTTCTTTCCAGACGCGCGCCCTGGCCGCCCTGGGTGGTGGTGGGGCTAGGGTAGTGGCTCTCCGACTCCTCTGGGTGGGGGATCCAGGCGGGGGTGCCAGGCTGGGGTCCCAGGCTGGGGTTCCGGCGCTCGGGGCTCTGGCGCAGGGCGGGGGAGGCGCAGACCTGCTTGCTCCTGTCTTCCGCCGCCTTCTTGTCGGCCTCCGCCTGCTCAGCTCGATCCAAGGCGTTCTCCTTGTCGAGCTTCAGCATCTGCATCTTCTTCTTGATGGCGTCCATGGTGGCGGCGGCGAGGGGCCCTGGGGCTGCAGCAGGAGCGGTCGGGCGAGCGCGCGGTCAGGCGGAGGAGCGGGAGTGCAAGCGCGGAGCCGCCTGCTGCTCCCAGATATGTACTTTCCCAAGGGGGCGACCGCATTCCTCAAGACAGCCAATACTTTTTTGGAAAAGCTTTTTTCTCCTGCCCCCCTTCCTCCTTTCCTCCCTCCGCCCCGTGCCCCCTCCCCGCTCCTCCCGCGGGGGCTGCTCGCCCATTCGCTGCCGCCCGCCGGCCTCCCAGTTGACGGTGGATATGACTATATATGGGGACCCGAGCCGCCGAGGCGGTGGCCGGGCGAGGACGCCCTGTTTCTAAACGTGCACGCCTGGGAGAGGGCGTTGGGGCCGAGCCGGGGCCGAGTCGGCTCAACCCTCCGCCCTCCGCGCCCCCTTCTCCCAGGGCCCGCAGCCCGCTATTAGGGTCCCCAGCCGAGCTCACCCTGAGCCGCCGGGGTCCGGGGCAGCGCGGGGCAGGTGGTGGATGCCCGTCGCCCCCCTGCTTAGCTGAAGACCCGGGGGATTCCCAGCCGCCGCCGCACCCCGCGTCCGGGACCCTGTGCTCTGGGCACCCGCCAGCGCCTCCCTGGCAGCTCTCAGCCCGCCAGGTGTCATCCTGGGCGCTCACGCTCTGGAAACTCAACTGGAGCAGAGAAAGGGAAAGCGTGGGGGGAAAGCCTGGGGCAGCTTCTGAGACTTTCTCTGCGGGAGCGGGTCAGAAAGGCAGGGGGCGGCACAGTGACGGTACACGGAGTCTTGCTTTCTGTGTGCCCTTTCCCCCAGCGGAGGGACAGTCAAATACTTTAGGGACACAGGACTCAGTGGCGTAGTTCTGCGCCTGCTGTGTGGTGCCTCCAAAAAGGTGCGCGCGTGCGTGTGCGTGTGTGTGTGTGTGCGCGCGCGCGCGCGCCGCGCGAGTGGCAGTTTAAGGGGAAAGAACACTGAGTTTAGACTCACGCAACTTGGCCCGTGGTCTCTACTCTGCCACCAGCGACCATGAGACCTTGTTTGCTGCCCGCGGCTTCCTCAACTTTAAATCCATGGCATAGATGATCCCTGAGATCCCTCCAGATCTAACATCATTTTTCCTGCATTGATTTTAGGGAGTCGGCCTTTCCATGTTAGATGGTTAGGTGCCAGGTTTCAGAAAACAAGAGATCGGTGTCATCCTGGCTAAGTCATTGCAACCACAGCTGCAACTGTGAGGAGGGAGTAGGCCTGGCAGGCTCTGCCTTGAGCAGTGCTTGGAAGCAGGAGGGTTTTCCCCCAACACTTTGGATTTTTAACTCTACTCCTTCCATCCCCCAAGGGGGAAAGTCTACTTTTTTTCAGAGCTTCAGTGGAAAGGGAGGTGAGGGAGTTGCTCCCAGCCCCTGAGATCAGCTGAGGCAGGGTTGTGGTTGTGAGGGTCTTGTTAATAGTCCCCACAGAATAATTCACAGTCTGTACTGCATGGATACCGAATATTCCCCAGACGGTATCTGAGCAGATTAGGCAGGTCAAACAACTTGTTAAGCCCTTCAGAGAATGCTCAAGTTCCTCTCTAGGATTTTATCAGGTTTCTTCCACTAACCCAACTGCCTAGGAGGGAAAAAATTCACCGACCTAATGGTCAGAACATTAGATCTGTGTGCATAGGGGCTGCATGGTGTGGAAATTAACCAGAGCCCTTTAATCACAGTGGGTCAACTTAGCCACTGAAACAGTGACAAAATTCCAGGCCCGTGGATGATATCCAGATGCATGGACTCTAGGGAGCTGACTCCCCAGGCTGGAGATCAGCAGAGGAGTCAAGAATAGGGAGGTTGGAGTTAGTTCCCGGGATCCAAACCTGGCCTGGCCACTTCCTTGCAGTGTGACCTTAGCCATGTTACAACCTTTCTAAGCCTGTATTCTCACTTGTAAAAAGAGGCAACTGACTTGAGAAACTCCTTGAGGGACCGCATATTACTGACTTTTCTTTTTTCCTTGTGCCATATGTAGCCAAGGAACTCATTAAATCTTCCTTAAGAGAATTCATGCTACAGGCAATTTATCAAACATGGCGTTATTGAGCACCTGCTGTATACTAGGCAGGTACTGGGCTCTGGAATCCAAAGAATGAGTAGCACAGGTCTTTGTCCTCCAGGTGTTTGTGTGAGCAGGGAATAAGTCTTCACAGGAGGAAGAAACAGAAATGACCGGGTCAGAGCAGCTGGGAAAACCTTCTCTGAAAAGTTGGTGACTTCTAAACGGATTTTATTTTTTTTTTAATTTAATTTTTTTCTTGAGACAGAGTCTCGCTCTGTCACCAGGCTGGAGTGCAGTGGTGCAATCTCTGCTTACTGCAATCTCTGCCTCCTGGGTTCAAGTGATTCCCCTGCCTCAGCCTCCTGAGTAGCTGGGACTACAGGTGCACCACCATACCCAGCTAACTTTTTGTATCTTAGTTGAGATGGGGTTTCGTCATGTTGGCCAGGATGGTCTCAGTCTCCTGACCTCATGATCTACCCGCCTTGGCTTCCCAAAGTGCTGGGATTACAGGTGTGAGCCACCGTACCCGGCCTTAAACTGATTTTAAAGGAAGGGTAGTGGTTAGCTAGAGAGGAGGGCCATTGTATGAGCCAAGGAAAGAAAAAGGAATGTTTGGAGGTGGTTAGACAGTAGGATTTGGGGGTGAGTGGGAACATGATACTGGAAAGGAAGGTTGGGGCCATCCGATAAAGGGCCCTGAATTCCAGATTCAGACATTCAGACCTTACTGTGTAGTTTAAAGCCATCAATGTCTCTTCTTTTCACATCTCCTTCGCCCGGACCCCCTCACCTAGGGCTATATTCAGAGGTCGAAGCCTGTGGTGTCCAAGTATGGAAATGGAGCTATACAACACTAACTTAAAAAATCCTGTGGTAGCATATCACTGATCCCTAGACTTCTGGGTTAACAAAGCAGGTCCTGAATTCAATCATTTCTTTTCACCCCTGTTGAGATTCTGCCACATGTCAGGCCCAAGTCAGCTTTATGGACTGCACCACCTGTGACCTTTTTGTCATCAAGGCCTAGGACAAGGCTAGGACAACCAAAACATCACTGCCTTAACACTTTCTTCCGTAGTGAACAGGTCCTCTGATCCTCTCCAGGGGTAGGCTTGACAGTCATGAGCTGTATGTAGTATGTATTCCTGTTCTCCAGCAGACTGGTCATGACTCAAGGACAGATCTAAAGACTAACTAGGGACCTGGTGGTGTGGCCTGTCAGGCAACGATGGACTGGGCCACTCAGCTTCTTTCATTACAGTTTGAACTAAGGAACATAAAAAATAGGAATCATTAGCTGTGGCTGCTGAAACAAAAAGGGATTGCAGTGTTGGGCTGGAAATGCCACGTGTAAAGGATGATTAAGTTTATTCACAAATTTTTAGGCTTTCTCCCCAGTCAAGGTCTTGGTAGTATTGCATGTCCCACCCAATTAAGTTGGCTGTGGCCATTTGACCTGCTTGGGCCAAGGAAATATGAGCGGAAATATGGTGGATACTTAAAGCGTTAGCTCATGTCTAACCATGTTCATTTTTGAAGATGTGGCTGCTTTGTCATTGTGGGTTTTCAAGTGTCTCCTTCTTTCCCCAGCTAACCCTTGGCAGACATGTAGTGACAACAAGATGTAAATGTTTGTTATTTTAGGCCACTGAGATTGGGGGTTGTTTGTTACAGAAGCATAACTAGCTTCTTCTGACTGATACAGTACAAAAGGTATGCATCATTTAAGTTATGAAGAAGCAGAGAAGTGATTATAGAGAAAGAATGAAGCAGGCATATCAAGATAAATAGAAGCACCAGTTTAGAGAAAGAGATTGGGAGAATATGACAAAATTTCAGTTCCAGGGGTCCTTATAATAACCCCCTGTATTTCTTGAGGTTACATGAGTGAGTCTATATTCCTTTAAAGTAAAAACCTTACCAAATCATGGTGGCATGACAACCTGCATGACATTCTTGGCCTAGAGGCTCTGTGTGAGCACCACGAACATGCTTGGAATTTCCAGATTTCTCCAATGCTTGGTATCCATTCATTTCTCAATGAATGTTTGTTGAATGCTTTTTTTTTTTAAAATGACTGACAAGTCCAACTTTCTTACTGACTTACAAGTAAGTCTGGGAAGATAAAGCAACAAACTAGGTTCAAAAGATCTTGTTTCCATTCAAAATATGGGCTCCATATTGTATTTAATGAAGAATGAATATAAGTATTGTGATAGGGTAAGACAAATGTCTCCAAATATTTAACACCTTTTGTGTGCAAGACATTTAGGGCTTATGGGATCAAGGGAAGCAGATAAAAGACATGGATCTTCTTTTGTAGGAAAACTCTCTATGTATGATGTGGGGAGAACCCTCTGTTTGGGGGTCATTTAAGGTATATGTCCAATTTCATGACCATCAGCCCAGATGGTCACCTGGGGCCCCCTATAGTTATGAGGACCACATATCCTGGGTTTTCTAGGAAAGCTTTAATATTAAATATATTAATTTTTTCCCCTCCATAAAAGCACTTGTATATATCATACTGCAGTTTTCAATATTTGGTTACAAAGGAGAGTTAACATGAGCATCGTTTCCCAATGTGGCACCTTTAACAGGAATACTCACTGGAATATGTACATCAGGGTTGGTTTGTTTGAAGAAACAAAATGAAAACCTAATTACCTGAGAGTTGCTCCTTGTTTAACAGCAATAGCCCCCTGTGTCTACTGGGACTCCCTCAGAGACAACAGTCCTGACTCAAGGAATTAAGGGAAAGTGAGGAATCTATAATTAAACGGAGAGACGATTGCTTCTTCCACTGGGTTTTGGAATGCAGTGTTTTATGCTCACAGCTTAGTGTCCCCGGAACAAGATATGGCATGCTCTCCTCAGACACTGGGGAGTTTTGTTTCCCAACGCTTTGCGATGCCACCATCAAGGGCCCACAGAAAATATGCTGTGCTTCGTAGGGGTGGGGGGTGGGGCTGCTTTGGAGCTCTGAGAAAGGTCTTTAGGCCAGTTTTGAGGCTTGCCTGCCTTTATTGTTTAGTAACACACAGCTGGTTCTGATCCTGCAGAGAGGCTCTTGAGTACACTTGTCACCTGAAATGTTTGCATGGGCAAAATGATTCTCCCAGTACAAAAAAAAAAAAAAA